AGGAAGGTTTATATGTATAATACCTAAATGCATATTACTCCCATGCGAAGCCGGGGCGGGTCGCTAGTTTTTATATAATATATAGATGATGTTGTAACATTCAATCATTAAACTGTCAATCACCAAGCGGTCACCGGTGACCGCAACCTATTGTTCTATAATTGTGTCTATAATGACGGTACTTGACGAGTTAAATAAGTTCGTGGTATTGATAAATATTCGATACTGACAAGAATAAATTAAACAATCTCGATTCACAATGAAATCGATTAGTCTTGCATTGTTTCAATCAAATAAATACAAGTTCGCAATACAAATAATAATGACTGTAATTCTTTGAACCGTACTTTATTCCATTAAATAGGTACAAGTTATTTGAATTTCTTTATTATTATTATTTTTGAAACAATACACTGCTTCGTTGGCTGAGTGGTCGCAAGTGCGACTGCCGAGCAAGGGGTCCCGGGTTCGATTCCCGGGTCAGGCAAGGTATTACTGGATTTTAATAAATTCTCAATAGTAGCACGGAGTCTGGAATTGTGTCCGGTATATGACAATAGGCTCACCCCCTATTACATGAGACTCATAACATAAATAGTGAAAAGTGGGTGTTACATTGTACAGTGGCATTAAGTGCCGAAATGTGCACCTCTGCCTACCCCTTCGGGGAAAAAAAGGCGTGATGTTATGTTATGTTATGGTACGATTTTTCGGGTTTGATTTCCGGGTCGGGCGTATTACTGGGTTTTTAAAAATTCTCAGTAGTAGCCCGGTAACTAGTACTACTAACGAGTAACCCGCAATTTATAGTTAATTAAGTATGTCTCACGATGGTTATTACAAAAAAAATTTAGACTCAATTATTAAATAATAAGAAACTGAAACATCTAAATCCTAAAACGAAAATTACTTCATCAATACTCTACAGCAACAATTTCTAGACAGTTCTAATCCCTCTGTCTTCAACTATTAAGTCTAAAATTGTATTGCAAATCAGATGAACCTAAGTTTCAAGTCAGACCGTATTTTCAGGCTCAGTGAATATCGAAGGTTTCAAAATGAGACTATGTACAGTCAACCAAGTTATTTGGGGTAAGAAAATTAGGATTGATTGACAGGGGCAGTAATTATTGTTGAGCAAAATTATCTTTTTTTTTACAAAGCCATAATGTACAGTCAAAAGTCAAAAGTCCACTGCCACCGTGAGTGATGTTCACACGGCAATGCGTAAGTAATTTCATATTAATGTGCATAAAAACGCGTGCACACGCATAAACACACGCACGCGTACGTACAAAAATAAAAATATGCGTGTGCACGTGTGTATAAGCGCTGCAGCGCAACCGATAGTAGTCTTACGGTGGCAGTGGACTTTTGACCTTTGACCGTACGTTTTGGTCAATGTGTTGGGGGGGGGGGGAATTGCACCACTTGATTCCTCTTAGCCCTTTCCATCATCGTACCACAAGATAGTCGGCAAAGCGCCACTTTTAAATATCATTCGCATGGTGTGCTTCGCTTCAAGCTTCCTTGTGCAAACTGCTAAGGAGTGGAATCCTTTACCAAAGTCTGTGTTTCGTGTAGGACATAACCTGGGTGTCTTTAAGGCCCGAGTGAATAGAAGGCTTATAGACAGACGTGCTCCATCGTTGGCCACATCATCGCTTGGTAGCAAGGCAAGAAAGTAAACAAAGGTCGTCCCATCACATTCAAACAAAATAAAAATAAGTCATATTTTGACAATATTATATTTTTTTAAATAAACGTTGCCCCACACTAGGATTATCTCCTCTGTCGTGAGTGCGCTTACAAACATACAAGTTCACATACACAATGACACATTGTGGATCACACGAAGTGTTGTTCCGTGCGGGAATCGAACCCGCGACACGTTGCACGGCAGCCGGTTGCCCAGCCACCGCAACAACTGTGTAGTCATTGTATCTTGAATCTTGGTTTTCTTACTTGTACCATGTCAAATAATGTAGTTGCATGTACCTCGATATATTTAAGTCTAACCTAGCCTAGTCTATTAAATTAATTGGTACTGCAATTTATTTTCAGAGCTAGACTTCAACCAAGCTGTATTTTCAGGCCCACTGAAGCGTTTTAAGTGTGAAAAATAGTTGTAGTCACACACCGGAATGATTGATTTTCTTTTACCGCCAGAGCTTGCCTTGTGGTTTTGCTCGTGTTTAAGTTTGAAGCTGGATTTATGTGTGTAATTTACTATTTTTACCGACTTCATTATAATTTATTTTATCCTTTGAACCGTAAAGTCGAACTTAGGGTTAGAATAGTATTTCCAATCGTGGTATAATAGGGTAGACGAGTAATTTTTATTTTAATGTACGTCTGGTAGATTATTTTAAAACATTAGACACGTATTTTTTATTTTCTTACGAAAACGAACAATTTCGAAGATATATTGATTTGAAATGTCGCGTGACGTCACTTCTCAGTACATTTTATACTAAGAAATGACGTTGTAGCCCCCACTACTAAACTTTGATTCGTTTTATCTAAGTATTGTTATATTTTTAATTTTCATACCCTGTCATCATCCCCATTGGATTGTATGGACACAACTGTCGATAAAAATCTTAAGTATTTGGACAACAATAAAAAGTGAAAAGTTTGATTTAAAAGGAGTTTCACTCATTATGTGTGCCATAATAATATGTACGGTGTCATTTTAAGTTCAAAAACTGAACTTTCTTTGTTTGATTTGAATGAGAACGTATTAGACTTAAAATTTATTGTATAACAAAGTAGTTGGCTGCAAGGCTGCCTCGTGGCAGAGTGGTCGCAAGTGCGACTACCGGGCAAGGATTCTCGGGATCGATTCTCGGGTCAGGCAAAAAATATTGGATTTAAAAAAAATCTCAGTAGTAGTAGTCACGTGATCTAGAATTGTGCACGGTATATGGCATAGGCTCACTCCCAATTAAATGGGACTCATAACATAGTGTAAAGTGGGTGTTGCCTTGTACAGTGGCATAATGTGCACCTCTGCCTACCCCTTCGGGGGTTAAAGGCGTGATGCATATAAAAGCTTCTAAAAATAATCTTCAACTAGCTTTTATTCGCAGTTTCGCCCGCGTATTTCTGTTTCATCTCATGGGAGTATTTAATCGGGAGAAAAAGATTTCCTATCACTTAAATCAGCCCATACCCTGCCTATATACCAAATTTCATCAAAATCCATGCTGTGGTTTCGGCGTAATTGACGGCCAAACATACAAATGTTTGGCCGTCATTCAGAGAAACATTCAGAATTGTCTAATTTATAAAATTCTCATGTCACAGTTTTCGTTGCTATGCTCCTTCCTTGTGCTTATCCGGTATCTATGAGAATCGGCCACTATCTGTTTTTCATCCCCCTAAATGTTAGGGGTAGTCCACCCCTAAATTTTTTTTTAAACAAATTTTTAATATCTGTTTTTTAATGATACGACATACAAAAATACATACAATCCTCAATTTTCACCCTTCTACGATCAACCTTTATTTTTAATAGCCATTTTAGTAATTATTTATATGGCAAAACAACGTTTGCCGGGTCTGCTAGTATATTATGTATTAGTGTCATCACAATAGAACACCGTCCACTTACTCTCACACAGTATTAGTAGTATCAACCTCAACAAAACCACGTACCTAACATATTGGTGTAAAACCGGCCATTTTGCAACATTGCAGTCTCCGATAAATTAGTCTCAGTGTTACTTAAATACATTGGCAAACACCCAGGTCTGGAGTTACAAGCCCTCGTTAACTACGGTTAAGAGATTCCTCTTAAAAGGTACACGTTTTATAGGAGAATTTATTTGAAGTTTCACAGTTTCTAATAGTTTTATGAATTTTAATTCTGGGTAAGAATATATTTTAATAACGTTGTTTAAAGGTAAATACACCACAAAAACTACCTCGGTGGCCGAGTGGTCGCAAGTGCGACTGCTGGGCAAGGGGTCTCGTGTCCGATTCCCAGGTCGGGCTAAGTATTACTGGGTTTTTAAAAAAAAATCTCAGTAGTAGCACAGAGTGGAATTGTGCCCGGTATATGGCAATAGGCTCACCCCCTATTACATGGGACTCATAACATAAATAGTGAAAAGTGGGTGTTACTTCTTTGTGCACCGCTGCCTACCCCTTCGGGGATAAAAGGCATAATTTTATGTTCACGTTGAAGGGTAATGCGCTTTGGTATGTATGGACTGGGTCGATTGAAGTTATTCCACGATCTCATAGAAAACGAACGAGAAAAACGATTGCATTTTGCCGTGTGACCCCCAAACAGTTGGCAACCTCTTAACCTGAACATAGCCGTGCCCTCAGGGACGTGATCGGCGACGGCGACTTCTCGCGTCCGGCCCTAGTGCGGGCCATGATACGGAGCAAGTGGGACTGGGATGCCGTCCCCTCCTTTTACGAAGCAGTCATGCTAGCTAAGGAGGAGGCGGGACGCGCAAGGCAGCGAAGCGCTGCCTTCTCACAACCCAGTCATCGCGAAGGACACTCCGGGCGTCGGGGATCGCGAGACGATCTCCGGCCACCGTAAGCGCGGGCCTGCGGACGGCAAGCATGGGTGACTCGCCGCTCGACCAGAACCAGATCCGAGCGTACCGCGCGCTTTAATAGAGCCATCAGACCACCACAGATGGGGCCCAATAGGGCTGATGCCGATACGGAGTCGCGGAGAACCTAACGGGTTACCGGGGCTCCGGCTCAAAGTCCAGGAATAGGAACGGGGTGGTTTTTAGTCAGTAAGAGTCTGACACTCCCTCCCTCCCGCCTTACCTAGGCGGGAGTAGTGAGTCGATGATTTCCCCACTTAAAAAAAAACCTCTTCTTTATTGATGCTCTTTCCAAAGATGACGCTGTTCATTAACTATCGAGAATGCATTTGCTTGTTTAACCTCTAACCGATCAAAGTATGGATATTACTGACAAAACTTTGAGCCCATCAGACATCTAAAGAATCGTCTCTTTTGTTTCAGGTATCATGGATAAGAAGAAAAGACTACCACCTACTAACTGTTGGCCTGACCACATACAGTTCAGACCAAAGGTTTCAAGCCATTCACTTACAGCATTCAGAGGTAAGTGTACTTTCCTATATGTTTTATTCAGTTATTTAAAACGCTAATCAAATATAGTGTAGGCCTCCCTTCTTTAATGCAAGCTACATACCTTACGATTTAACTATGCAAATTGAAATGTACAGTCTAACTGTATAACCAAATCGTAGATCCGTATAGATCCGTAGGCTGTATTGTATAGCCTACACACTTTTAAGTAAAACTGTTAAGTTCAACCGTTTGTTTAACACACCATACGATTTAAATATACAGTCAAACTGTACAATTAAATCTTACGCCTATGATTTGGACCTTTAAGTAAAACTGTACAGTTGAAATATGCGCTACACACGATTACGAAACAATTCATTAATATCGTTACGTTGCATAAAAAAATTATAGTATAAATTCTACTAAATGTTAAAGATGAGAACAGTCATTGTATCAACGGCTCTCAAAGACTCGCATAAGATAACATTTAAAAAAAGCACGAATAGCACATTCGTGTACTTACAGCTATTCATATTTTCTCATTGAAAAAAGTCAGTGCCTGGAACTCGAACTCCAACAAGTGGAGTCGGAAGATTAAGTCCAACTAGTATTTTACTATTTATCTATCAAACCGTTAGAAAACTGTCAAGCAGTTCCTTTACCCCTGACAAAGCAAGGCAACGATTTTTAGGCTGTAAGATCTCCCTAATAGCTCTTAACCAGATTAACTAGTGAAGCCTTAAGTGTACTTAGTACTTAGGTTAGCAATTAAGGCAGTTACATTTTTAATTCTGATTGATACAATAATAGCGCTCTCAAGGTTAGTGTTGGAGGGTTTAAAACACGATGTAGACTTTGGGATAGAATCTGAAACCTATATAGGTAGTGGTTGTAACTTCTTCTGATTTGGATGCTAGAATCAAACTTTAAATCTAGAACCGGCACAAAGTCTGGAATTGTACCCGGTATATAGCAATAGGCTTACCCCCTATTACATGCGACTCATAAAATAAATAGTGAAAACTGAGTGTTACATTGTACAGTGGCATTAAGTGTCGTAATGTGGTTATGATATGCTATGTATTACAAAATGAAAGTTCCAACACAAACCAACCTCGATACACCCATAAATAGAAACTATTTGCATATAAGAGCGAGATATATTTACAAAATATCATTCATCCCATTGTTCAGGAGATAGAGTTAGTTAAACTTAGATTTACGAAGTTTCTTCGTAAGAACACTTTGGGAAAACCAATAATCTTGGGTACCCATGTTAATTCCTCTCGGTTTGGGGTCACATATCTTGAGAAACTAAATAGAATGGGTTTCAAGGGATTACTTATTGATCCCTATAAGGTAACAGCTGTGTCTTTTCAGAGTGAATTGAGAAGTGCTAGTTGACATTATGATAGGAATTTGTAAGGCTTTTTGTGAATAAAATTTTTCTTATATAAATTACTAGCGACCCGCCCCGGCTTTGCACGGATGCAATATGCATGTATTATACATATACTTAAACCTTCCTTAAGAATCCTTACTAATATTATAAAGCGGAAAGTGAGTTTGTTTGTTTGTTTGTTCCGCTTTCACGCCGTAACTACTAAACCGATTGCTTTGAATTTTTGCGGACGTAGTTAGAAGTCCGGATTAAATACTAGAGTACTTTTTATCCCGGAAAAATTTGATATTCCCGAGGGAAAACAAAAGTATTGGTATAGATGGATGGTGTATTGTCATATGTCACATAGGCTACTTTTTATCCTTTTGTGACGCGAGCGAAGCCGCGGGTAAAAGCTAGTTTTCTTTAATAAATTACTTTTCAAACAACTTCAATCCACTCTTTTTTTGGAATTTGGCTAATAAATATACGCAAAGTCAAAAGTCGAAATCAAAATAATTTATTTCAGTTAGACCAGAAAGTCACTATTGAACGTCAACAAAAAATTTAAAGTGAAGCTATTTGCTCATTCCAAGGTGTAGATTCATATGGAGAAGAACGAGCAAGAAACTCCATAGGTTACTCTTTTTCAATTAGGTTCACAATAAAATTCTCTAGTTACATAGTTAACGAGTATAAAACAATCTCCTAAGTATAAAAAAAACTTTAGTTCAAACCACATTAGAATCGGTTCAGTCAATTGCGAGATAATTGCGCACAAACGTACCTACTTATATACATACAGGTCAAATTTAGACCCTTCTTCGTTTTTTTTAGTCAGTTAAAAATGCCTTATATCTCTTGTCTTTAAAGTTTAATTTTGACAAACACATAATAGGGTAGATGACTAATTTTTTATTTTAATGTCCGTCTGGTAAATTATTTTAAAATATTACACACGTATTTTTATTTTTTTACAGAAACAAATACTTTCGACGATATATTGATTTGAAATGTCGCGTGACGTCACTTCTATGTACATTTTATAGTTTTAGACCCCACTCCTAAACCTTAATTTGTGATATCTAAGTATAATTTTATTATACATCAAAATAAAAAAATACTTATCTAATAATTTATCATTACCTTATTGAATCTCTTTGTCATCATCCCTATTGTCTTTTAGGTATCTCAAACAACAAAATATAGAAGAAGTTAAAACAAAATAAGACTCGGACTATTCTAATAAATATTTTGACATTGCAACCTCATTACAAGTCCTTTGTTGTTGGACAATCATGCATGATAGTGGAGCTAGTCTAGTAGCTCATTCCAAACTGAAAATTCCTATAGAGAATAACGAGCTAGAACCTCCTTATTAACTTCAAACAATGCCAAAGAAAAACACGCTCTAACAAATGAGTATAAAACTGCTATTTCACCTTCCGTTGGCTCTGTGTATAGGGGGTAGGTAAAGTGAATAAGCGTACTAATTAATTTGGTGTCATTCTAGGCCCTTAACAGCGCTTGTGGTGAGCGCTAGGCTAAGGTATTAAACCCTCGAGTCTTTGGCGTATTAACGTTACAAACATTTGCTTCGGGAATATTCGGTAATGTCCGAGCAATTTCGGAAATTCGAATATCATGGTGTAGTCTAGTTGTTTTTCTTGGATTGTAATCACTTTTGTGCATAGGAATCGCAGTTAATGCGTGTATTATATACGTACATACATCTAAGGTTCATTTTTGCGTGAATTTTTTTATGTAAAGTGTTATTTAATTGAGCTCATATACCTTTTTAGATGAATTAATATTTAAAACGAGTATTCGACTGCGTCGTTGACCGAGTGGTCACAATTGCGACTGCCGGGTAAGGGATCTCGGGTTCGATTCCTGGGTCGGGCAAAGTATTAATGGGTTTTAAAAAAAAATCTCAGTAGTAGCACGGAGTCTGGAATTGTGGCCGGTATATGGCATTAGCTCACCCCCTATTACATGGGACTCATAGCCTAAATAGTGAAAAGTGGGTGTTATATTGTACAGTGGTGTAATGTGCACTTCTGACTACCCCTTCGAGGATAAAAGGGGTGACGTTATGTTAATATTCAAAAATGTATCTTACATCCACTTTAGGCCTACGAATAAGCTAATAACTCTATATTAGTTTAAAAATCATAACCTTATAATCGTTTATTTTACTAAAAATAGAATCGGTATTCCCGCGACTTCTTAAGAAGACTCATACATTCACTGACTGGCAGTCAAATAAATATGTAATTCATATTTACTTTAAATACGAAAAGAAACATTCGAAAAAGTCTCGTATGTTTTAGGGCGCACCGTACCATATAAAGTTCAAAAGTACCTATTTTGGGAACCGCAAAATTTCTGTGGCTTAACCCTTCAGTACTCATGAAATTACAGCAGTATTTTTATCCGTATACAGTTTTTTTTCTCACAAATATTTAGGTGACCTTTTAGTGAGGTTTGTCAACAAATATTTTCTTTTTCCCAAAACACGTAGGTTGGCAACATATTTATGAGTTTTTTTTTTTCAAACAAAACGTGAATTTTCTACATTTTTTTCTGCGACAGCAACATTCGGTTTTAGGGGCATGTATCTAAAAGGGTTACGATCAGCTGTCTAAGTAATGAATCAATGCAAAAACTAGAAATGTTGTCGCTGTACTCAAAATAATTTAATGATTAAGTACTTAACTCATACATATATCATTATCGACATCCTATAAGTGCCCACAGCTGAGAAAAGCCTCTTCTCACACTGAGAAGATTTCAGCATTAATCACCACGCTTGCTCATTGCGGGTTGGCGATTTCAAACTTACAATAGAGTAGATCTATGCCTAATTTTTATTTTAATGTCCGTCTGGTAGATTATTTTAAATCATTTCATTATACATGTATTTTTTATTTTCTTACATAAACGAATACTTTCGACGATATATTGATTTGAAATGTCGCGTGACGTCACTTCTATGTTCATTTTATACGTAGAAATGACGTTTTAACCCCCACTCCTAAACTTTGATTCGTTTTATCTAAGTATTGTTTTATTATACGACGAAATAAAAAAATACATGTCTAATATTTTTTCATTACGTAACTTACGGACTAATTAGATTTTTAATTTTCATACCCTGTTATCATCCCTATTAGAAATCATAAGTCCAAGTTTTCTTATGCCTTCACCGTTTGTCAGTGGTGTCTAAATAATCTTAGAAAGTACATATAACTCGGAGAAAGTCACATTGGTACTTGCTGTTGGTAGGTTTCGAGCCCGCACCCACATGCCTGAGAAGCGGGCTTCTTGAACATCCGGGCCACCGCGAGATATTACTTAACCCAGCCCTTAGTAATTATTTTCGGTTATTAGGCATAATTAAGTAAAAAAGTACGGCAGTCATATTTTGGAACTAAATAAACTCGAAATAACAACTTTTGATGGAATAGGCCGACGAACGAGCAGACGGATCACCTGATGGTAAGCAATCGGCGCCGCCCATGGACACACGCAACCCCAGAGCAATTGTCACAAGTGTGTTGCCGACCCTTTAGGGGCAATGCACTTATAACTCCATAATATTATGTTTTTTTTAAGGGAGGAATATTATCACATGACTTCTCCCGCCTGGGTGAGGCGGGAAGGAGTGTCAGACTCTTACTGACTAGAAACCACCCCGTTCCTACTCTTACGTTTCGAGCCGTAGCCCCGGTAACCCGTTAAGTTCTCTGCGACTCCGAATCGACATCAGTCCTATTGGGTCCCATCCGTGGTGGCCTGATGGCTCTTTGAGGCGCGCTTTGCGCTTACGGTGGCCGGAGATCGTCTCACGATCCCCGACGCCCCGGGGTGTCCGTCGCGATGGCAGAGTTGCGAGAAGGCAGCGCTTCGCTGCCTCACGCGTCCCGCCTCCTCCTTAGCTAGCATGACTGCTTCGCAAAAGGAGGAGACGGCATCCCAATCCCCCTCGCTCCGCATCATGATCCGCACTAGGACCGGACGCGAGAGGTCGCCATCGCCGATCACGTCCCTAATAAGGGCACGGCGGTGCTCAGGCCACGTTTCAGTCTTCACTGTGTGTTCCACCGTGTCCTATAATATTATGTTTAATATTTAAAAAAGAACTGGGACTTTTCTTAAACATAGTAATACTGGAAATAAGATATCAACGGTTTGAAGTCTATAAATAGGATTCGTTGATTATATTTTTTTTATTATTCCTCGTGGCAGCAAACTCGTGTTCTTGAAGGTTCTCCTTTCAGCCAATTAGTGTATACATTCGTTCTTCAATTATTTCTTCTATAAATAGGTTTTATGTAAACAACAAACAAGTTTTATATAACATCTGTTTTTTATTGGTTGAAGGTGATCAATGATTATATAGCAACAGCGAGTACAATTTCAGAAATAAGAAACGAGGGTATTTCTATTTAAAAGGCTGCAACTCACCTGTGACTCCTTTGGTGTTGTGGCTGTTCATGGACGGCGCTGATCGCTGACCATTAGGTGATCTATCTGCTCGTTTGCCTCCGATTCCGCAAAAAAAAACATTTTTAACAACAAAAAAAAAATCTTTGCCCAAATCCAGAATCGAAAAAAAGATCCTTTGGTCTGTACCTACTCACGATAAGAATCATTCAATATAAATACCGAAAAAAAAAACAAAATGTTATAAGCTTGAATCTTGAGTCCAATTGATCTCGTGGAAAAATTTGATTGTTAAATATATCTTTCATTTCCAGGACTGGACGCTGAAAGTGAGATTTGTACAGAAGAGGGACGCTGGCATCTATGAGTGCCAAGTGTCCTCCCACCCCCCTACTAGCATCTTTCTAAGACTTGACGTCGTTGGTAAGTGTTTAATCAATACTTTTTATCTTAATTGTCTATTAGAAAATGAATTTTAGAACTTATAGAATTGTGGTGAATTTTGTGTGACGTTAAATTCTCGTTACGATTTTACAGTTATTAGCCACAAAAAATAACGGAAACTTTTTATGCATGCTACACACTTTCCATTTAATCTGTACAGTCAGACTGTACAGTTAGATCTAGGTCTATACACGCGTGTAAACCTTAGAATACAATTGTGCAGTTCAACTGTATGCTCTACGCCTTACGATTTAACTGTACAGTTCGATTGTACAATTAAAACTGTACAGTCCTTAAGTTTGTTAGTCTTAAGGTATAAGGCCTACATTACATAGAGAAACAAGTTCTGTATAGAACCTATTACTTCAATAAAACACCGAACACTCATTACCTTACACATTTTTTAACAAAAACAAGATTTTCTTTTAAAACCTTAGCTTAGTAATACTCGTAAATAAGCTAAAATTCTAGACTTAAGCTGCCTTAAGCAATTCTGTTTAAGTTTAGGCTTTTAGAAGAGTAATAGGCTTGGCAGTTTTTGGGGTTCCGTACGCAAACGATAAAAACAAAAACTCTATTACTAAAACTTCGCTGTCTGCCTGTCTATCTGTCACCAGGCTGTATCATATGAACCATGATATCAAACCATGATAGTGTCCATAGGCACAAAGCGTTTCGCTTCGAGTGTTTTTTTGTATAAGCTGTTAAAATAGAATTCCTTGCCTTCTAGTTTCTGATTTCAGAAAGGCATAACTGGGTATCTAGCCGTGCTTTTTTGTCAGCCACATCATGGCTTACTTAGACAAAAGTGGCCAAATCCGACTATAAAGCTAAAAAAAAGCTATTTAGAAAATGATTGAAGGAACTGATGATGTATAAAAACAATATAAAATACCGAAATATTGAAAGGCGCCTCATTAAAGTCGATTTTAATGGCGTTCATTGTTCGAAAGAATAAATGAACGAATGAAACAGAACGCTTCGTGCGAAACTCCGACTCGGACTTAGCCCGATTTTTATTTTAAGTGTTGAGTGAACACACCTGGTTCTGCGAATTTTGCCTTAGAGACACATTACGTCTGCTTGTAACGTTGTCACATGAATATAATGGCGACGTTTTATGGAGTCTTTATTAAACTTATACTGTGTCTCGTTAAGCTTGCTAATTAGTGAATGTGAGTCGGTAAGGGTTATTGCATTTTATTACGTCTGCCTTCGGGATAGGGTTGTTGATCGGGGTGACGTAATTCTTTTTCTAATATTTAACTAATTTATTCAATAGTAGGTTCTGTTAGCTACTTTGCTCGCGTTTCCCTGGGATTAACGTGACCTATGTGTTATTCCACAATCTATCCCTGTTCCAAATTTCATTATGCTCCCTTCAGCCATTTTTGTGTCAAAAAGTAACAAACAAACACACACACACACGCGAACACACACACACACACACACACACACACACAAACAGACACACACACAAACTATTTCCCATTTATAATATTAGTAATATAAGGTTTTTCTTTAAAAAAATGGTATATTATTTGTGTAGTTATTCATATGTTTCTTTAAGCACACTATATTACATTATTTTTTAATTGATTCATTATAAAAATACCTGAATCGCTGAACAATTGCTGAGGCAGACTATAACAATGAATAAGCAAAGATCGTATCGATTTTTGAATCAACAACACACACAGAAGAAAATTGTATAGAGAAAAAATAACGACAAGGGATTTTAAATAACACATTCTCATTATCGATTCCCATTTTTCGTCTCAATTTTCAATATAATACTTTAGCCTAAACACTGAAATATTTTAAATACTCATTTATAATATGACTAAGCACAAAATGTCTGTACTTTTCGACCCCAACTCAATATTAATATGTAAATAACTGGACCTTAAACGCAATGCCCACCCGCCATATTAGAGGGACAGGGTTACCCGTGAAAATAATTAAAATCTTTTAAATTTTACTGCGGCAACACTGGAATACGGCTTCATTTCGTCGCCAAATCTGTTCGCTGTTTAAAAAAATATGTGAGGATTTTTTTTTATTGTAGAAAAAAGGTTTTTTGTTTATTTTTTTATGTTAACGTGATGGCTAGGATTATGAGATGAGTGCAAAGCTCAGTTACTTGTTAATTTTAAAACCAACGTGAGCATTTTAATTTGTTTGAAGATATTATGTTGTTTTTTATTAGTCTAGCTTTAGAGTTGAGATTCGTTGACTCGAACCACTCATTTTTGTGTCTGGACTTAGCCTGATTTTTATTATGGAATGACTTGCGAGATTACTAACTTGCGTCACATGTTTTTACGCTAGGGGGGTAGGCAGAGATGAAAATAAAATATCGAACACCCACGATTCTTCAGTTATGTTACGAGCTCCATATAATACGAGGTGAAACTATTTCAATACACTACATCGAACACGATTTCAGACTCCACGTAAATACCTACTGATAAAATTCGAGATCTCGATAAAATTCCTATAATATTTATTTTAATCTAAAAATTTGGCGAAATATCTCATACTAGACATTCACATTTTTTATGGGATAAGTCGGTAAACGAGCTAACGGATCAGCTGGGTGCTTACTCTTGAAACTAATCTCAATGTCAATGCAATTTCAATCCAATAAAATGTGAATAATTATTTTATGTCAAAACTATACAACCTTTATCGTAGCTGTTACGATAGCATTCAGAGTACGGAATATAAAGCCAAACAAATACCATTTAGTTTATTAAATATCCACGCAATCGGATGCAATGGGCGCTAGTGTCCCAATTCAAGAGTACGAAATGTCACAATACCAATGTCGATCGATCGGAATGGATTCAAGAGCCCCCTGATGGGTGCGTTACTGCGAATTAAGAATTTGAGAATTGTGTGGAATTCAGTGGGGATGTTAGGGAGGGGGGGGGGTTATTTGGCTTATGGTTACCTCTCTCACACGATGAAACACGACGCAAACGATGTTGCACATCGGTTTTTTGTGAGACCGTGGTATCACTCCGGTCAAGCTGGCCCATACGTGCCGAAGCATGCCTCTCCCACATTTGATATACAATCACCATTACCACCACCATTTAGTTACAAAACAAATCTAATATAGAAAAAACAACAACAATACAAAGAATAATGTTATTCCAAGAAACAATATTTTCCATCGCCTTATTAAACGCTATTGTTTCCATAAAACAAAAGAACGAAGCCATGTTGCCAAAGCGTTGAGACTTTAATATCAAATCGAGAGCAATTCGGGAAACAATAATATTTATTTCATTAATTAGAGTAGATGTTTTGTTTTAATAGGTATTTTTATTTTTATAGAAAAGAGAAATAAGGGTATTGTTCAACTTGCCTTGAACACTATAGCTAAGAACTTAAGGCGCGATTTTCTTCAACGCCTTTGTAGAATACAGATATGCATGTAAAAAATCAAAGCCAGTGGAGTCTGGAAATGTGCCCGATATATGGCAATAGGCTCACCCATGTATAGATATTTCTTGTCCCATGTATATGGGACTCATAACATAAATAATAAAAAGTGGGTGTTACATTGGCATTAAGCGCCGAAATGTGCAATATATAACTTACGCCGTTGCGAATCGTTGAGAGAATTGTTTAAATCGATAAATATTTTAACGGTGCCCTGTCAATATATATATGAAAATATAATGTATGTAAGGAAAAATAGGCAATTGTTTGAAAAAAGAAGCGATAGACACAATTTTAATACTAGAGGCAAAAATAAGTTAGCTATACCGCAATTCAGACTATCCAAAGTACAGAAATCCTTTATGGGGTTAGGTATTAAATGCTATAATAAAATACCAAATAGCATACTAGATCTCAATGAAAGTAAATTTAAAACATATATTAAGCGCGAATTATGTAATCAAGCTTACTACACACTGACAGATTATCTTGAAGATAAGAATGCTTGGCAGCATGTTGGTTCGGCTCCACTGGACAATACTCAAATGTAGTCAGTAGTTAAATTCCAATAGTAGGTAATATAATACATAATTTAATACTTTAATTCTAATGTAGACAATCTAGTTTCCTTATGGCATCGAGCATTTCTTTCTTTATTGAAACAAAGAGTTTCCTTTTTCTTGTATAGAAGCACTATTTCTATGGATTGTCAGTATGCATATGTGAGCACCATGTTAGACTTAAGATCTTTATTATTTTTATTTTTATTTTAGTAAGTTATTAGTATAATGCGTCAAGCGTGTCTTTGCATTGTTCTTACATATGCGTACAGTATTGAAATATGTATCAGAGACATTGTAGAACATACTTTTTTAAAAGAGTAACGAATGGAGTTTCTTGCTCGTTCTTCTCCATTCGAATCTACGTTTTTGAATGAGCACCTAGCTTCACCTAGCTTCACTGACGGACTGACTGACAGACTATTATTTATTTTGTATTTGTTGACGTTTTAAAAGTACCAAACTATGACTTTGACTTTGACTTTGCACCTCTGCCTACCCCTTCGGGGATAAATAGGCGTAATGTTATGTTATGTTAAATCAAAGCCGTTTTCATGGCGTGTTTTACGCCCGCTTCGTTTGCGATTGTTTGGGTCTCCCGCTGTACCGGCAGGCTAGGACCGCGGGCCTGCAGCCGTGGCGGCTAGCACCCATAAGCTCTGCGATCGGTTGGCGGGCGATCGCAATGGAACTCAACTGATGGTTTAACCGCCCGCTCGTCTTGCAATAATCAACTGCTAAGTTTGTGGGCGATAATCGCAACCACAGCTGCCGTGGAACGGCAAAAAACTGCAGTCTCGTGAGTTTTGAAAATTTCGCCTCCAGTCCACCACCGCCTTAGTTAAGATTCAAATTCAGAATCTGTAAGTTGACATGACGTAATGCACAGACTGGTAAGAAACCTGATGAAGATGAAAGCCGTAAAAGCCTAACAAGTAGATTGCAAAAATTTATAGTTACATTTAG